GATAAAATGTTCATATAAACCATATAGGGAAGATTTTTCCTTTGTGAGAGGATTTTAACTATTTGTTTAATAGTCACCATTCTTAGTGGTTATAGAGTTATTAAAGGTTTCTCTTTTTTGAGTCAGACTTGGTATCTCTCTCTTACACACATGTTTTCCTTCTTTCTATTTAAATGTGTCTATTTCATTTGTCTTAAAACTATTTTCAGAAACATTCATTACATTATTTTATTTTTATTTTCTACTATATATGATTATGTAATAATTTTTATTGCTAGTTTTTTATTTGTGTTCCTCTTCTCTTTTCACGGGTTTGTAAAGAAACAATTTTTGAGTTCTTTGTTTTCTCTATTTTATTTTGGTTTAGATTTTATTAATTTTCTAATTTTGGCTTCTCTTTCCCTTTTCTTAGTTTTAATTTTTGTTATAATCATAAGTGTACATGATTGATTGATAGATTGATTGAGACGGGGTCTTGTACTGTCACCCAGGCTGGAGTGCGGTGGCATAATCAGCTCACTGCATCCTCGACCTCCTGGGACCAAGCGATTCTCCCATCTGTATTTTGAGTAGCTGCAACTACAGTCATGAACTACCATACGTGGCTAATTTAAAACAAATGTTTGCAGTGATGGGGATCTCACTATGTTGTTCAGTCTTGTCTCAAACTTCTGGCCTCAAGCAGTTGTCTCTCCTTGGGTTCTCAAAGCATTGGGAATTGCAGGTATGAATCACCACACCTGGCCAAGTGTCTGTAATTTAAAGTCAATGGTTAACATTGTTCTGTTATGAAGAACATCTGTCCCCGCCCCACCCCCATTCCCTTATTTACCACTTCCCAGAGCAACCACATTTGCCATCCCCTGCCGTTTATTTTATTATTTGGTGTTTACATTTATTTCTCCAAATAGCATGATTATGTCTTATTTCTTGATTCTTTTTCAATTTTGGGCACAGTCTATTGATTTTTCAATGTGGAGGCTTTGAAGATCTTTTTCACCTTCATCTTCTATTGTTCACTTTTACCTTTTGTAACCCGAACTGCAAAATATAGTAAAATTAAAGTGTTAGCTAATGCCAATAATCAATTCATGTTTACACCACTTTGAATGTGCAAACATTATTGACATTTTTCACAACTTTTTGTTTTCCCTCACTATGTTTGGCTCTGTGTCCCCACCCAATCTTATCTTGAATTGCAATCCCTCCGTGTCAAAGGAGGCACCTGGTGGGAGGTGTTTGCATCATGAGGGTGGTTCCCCCCCATGCTGTTCTCATGATAATGAGTGAGTTCTCATGAGATCTGATGGTTTAAAAGTGTGTGGCAGTTCTCCTTAGATATGTTGTGATTAGTGATACATGAGACAAACTGAGCCTGTCTCTGCACCTGGAGTTTTGGGGTGTAATGGAAATGTTACATAAGCTTCCATAAGGGAAACATATAGATTGGTAGTGCAAATCAGGCACTGATCAGTGTGACTATGAATACAGATTATAGTATAGTTGTGACTGGAATTATGATATGTCCCATGCCGGGTGTTAAAGAGATGCTAAGATGTCCCAAGTGCCATAAGGTGCCTTGGGGTGGCATTGATTTTACTCAGGGTCTGGAATATCCTATTTCCCCCAACAGCCCAAATTATAGGGGAATAAGACATAGCTATAGAACTGTGATTAATGCTATGATGGATGAAGACATTTGTAAGGCTGCCCTGCAATTGACCATGGGGGCTCCAGTCTAAAATGTTATAATTGCCTAACTGGAGGCTATGGGCTTGTTTCCTGTGATGGACTTCCCAGATAAAGTGGAATCCATTACTTTCCTGGCTTTGTGCTTTAGCACAGGAAGGAATGCTTTGGAAAGTAGCATTGATTGCATTGCCTGGTTTGAGGCTACCTGCAGCTAAGACTGTTAAGGCATTCCCTCTGCCATAATGTAGCCATACTTGTTTTTGGGCAGGTACACAGTAAGGGTTAGAACCTTTAAAACTTACACACAGTGGGAGGATAGTGGAGTGATGCATAGTGTTATCTGGCACCTTAGTCGGATATGTGCCATTATTGAGGGACCCCACTGGGGGTAAATTTATCCCTCCTAGCCAAGCAGTCGCGTTATTGTAGTCTGGGAAGGGGGTGTCTGCCCAGGTGACAGGGTGAAAGAAAGGCAGGTCTAAGATATGAGCCCAGCAGGTACAGGTTGCAGGCAAATGAGAGAATAAAGAAGAAACATTATTTGGAGTGAATCATGTCTGTGTCTGGAGCAGGGTTAGCTTTGCCTCTTGTCTTCGTTAGCTTTCCCCAGGTGATGTCCGGGGCGTGTGTGGTCCTGTGGGGTCTTCCCTAGGCTGGTTCAAGGTTTTTTCTTCTTTCCATCCTTTGATGAGGACATAGTCTCCAGGCTGGGGCTGGTGTACTGGAAATTCTAGGGGTTGTGTCTGTGCTAAGAGACCTTTTAAAATCTTTGTAAAAGAGCAGGTCAGTGCTTTAAGAAAAACCCGTTGTGCTTTGTTTTAATGTCTAGTTTACAGAAAAACTGATACTTCTTTAACTTTAGCCAATATGTTTATACACAGAATTTCTTTTACAGTTAACGTTTTGAAACTTGCTTAGACTGTTAAAACTGAAATCATACACATTTCCTGCATAAATTCTTTTCCTATAACATTTTTCATGACCTTTACAATCTTCAACATGCCTTTACTTTCTTTCTCTCTCTCTCTTTCTTTACCTCTCCTTCTCTCTTTGCCTTCCTGTCTCTTTTTTCTTTCTTTTTACATTGTCTTTTTTCTTAGTCTCACTTACTATGTCTATCTCTGATCTCTGTCTCTTGTAGTCTCTCTCTTACTCATTCTTTCCCTCTATTTCTCTCTTCAATCTTACTGTTTCTATCTTGAGAGGTTTAGCAAAGTGCTTTTCTACAGCTGTTTGAAATTTGTCATCTAAATTTACAAACTTAAGGGTAATAAGTCTTGTGCCAATAGTGTTGCAGGGTTTTTTTTCCCCCATACCCCACCTTTTCTATTTTCTGAGCAGATTTTTAAGGATGGAATGGGCGTGTTCTACCATTGCTTGACTTTGGGGGTTATGTGGGATGCCTGTGGAATGTTGGATGTTCCATGTATGACAAAATTATGAAAATTGTGAGCTGGCATAAGCTGGATCATTATCAGTTTTAATTTTTGTCAGCTGCTCCATAAACACAAAAGTTAAAAGAAGATGTTTAATGACATATTGAGTGGATTCTCCAGGAAGAGCGTGTGCACTAATTAAATGAGTGTTGGTATCAATGGATACATGTACCTATCTAAGTTTTCCATATTCAGGGATGTGTGTAACATCTGTTTGCTGTAACTGATTAGGTGCTAGTCCTCTTGTGTTAACACCTGTGGAAGGAGGGGACGTGCCTGCAAGCTGGCAATATGGGCATTGCAGGATGATTTGTTTACCTAGTCTCTGGGTAAGTTAAAATTGTTATGTTTCTCCAGTTTTGGTAGAAAAATTGATGTGATGGGTGGTTTAGTCAAGCAATGATGTCACAACTTGTAGGTCTGCTTGTTCATTGCCATTAAGTCAGTGGTCCAGGCAGTGAGCTGTGGGCTCAAATGTGTGTGATAAAATAGGATATGTGCATTAATCCAGGAATTGCTGAAGTCAAAGAAAGAGAGCACACAGGGTGGGCTCCAGAGTGGACTTAATTAAAACTGTTTCAAGGTTCTGCAACAAATAAAGAGTAGGCAGAGTCACTAACAATATTGATGGGCTGATTGGAAAAAGTCTGAAGCCAGAATTAAAGCTCCAATTTCAGCTCTCTGAATACTAGTAAATCCAGACTGAGTAATTGTGTGGGTCTCCACCAGACTGCTACTTTTCCATGTTTACCTAAACCAACAGCAAATAGTGCTAAAGCATTAGGTATGGGGGAGTGAACTATTTTTGTAGGTAAGATCACAGGAGTATGTGATAAGAATTGAAGGAGCTTATCAGCAAGCAGAAAGTACCTGCTCTATTTGCCCTGTGTAATCAGAGAAGACTATTTGCAGATCTAAAGAGAGGGATATTACTGCTTTGAATTGCCTTTTACTTCTTATTCTTATGACATCAGGGTCATAATCTAACAACTGATTGCATTATTTGTGGCCTGAATAGATGACTTTACTAATTAACTGAGTATAGGGGGACAGAGTTTTGTCCCAGTATGTGAGCAAAAAACCCACTCTAAAAAGTGTATCTGGGGGGCTGTTTGTACTATTAACACTGTAGGGGAGTGTTTGGTAGGAAAAATAAACAGCTGACTGAATAGAGCAGATCTATGCAATCTAGCTGCCTGTGAGAAATGGCCTGCTCGATTTTCTCAATATCCCTTTCTGCTGCAGGGGTTAAATATCTAGGAGAATCCAGGGCTGGATTGCCCTTTAAGATAGAAAACAGGTTTTGCAGTTTATCAGTAGCAATTTCCAAAGTGGGGCAGAGCCAATTAATGTCTCCCAATTATTTTTGAAAATCATTAAGGTGTGCAAGTTGCTAGTATTTAATTTAATCTTTTGTGGTCTAACTGACTGGGAAGTTAGTAGGTACCCGAGATGTTTCCAAGGAGAGGACATCTGTGCTTTCTCATGTGCAATGGTTAAACCTCTTAGTTATGTTAGAGATTTTAGCCCAGGATTTGATTGGCTTTTTTTTTTTTTTTGGTAAGTTCTTTTTGTGTTAGGTTGTTCTTTTGCATATTTATTTCCCTGTTGCCTAGATCTTTTTGTCTGAGATCTTGATTTTCTTTGGCTGAATTAGTGAGTTTGGCTTAATTTTGATTTGAAAATTTCTTTGATTACTGGAAAGATATTTGACTTGATCTAATTCTTATATTTTTGGTGAACTTTAATGAAAAATTTCCTGGGTGAGATTTAACAGATCTGAACCTTGTTTCAAGAAGTAAGTTCACATGAGTTTGGGGATGAAAGAAGACTACCTTGTTGGATAGGAAAAATTTGACTAGGATTCATCTCTAATCTCTTAGAAGCAATAGAATTTAAATGAGTTTGAGAGACTGTGGATCTTTGTTGACTAGATGGATTTGATTGAAGTTGAATCTGACCAGTTTTAGTGGAAGAAGGTACATGCTGTTGTGAAGGTGGTCCTTTAGAAGAAAGATTTTATAATAGTCTAGTTTTTGGCTTATTTCTCTTGTGTCCACATACCTGCAAAAGAAAAAAAGAAAACATTAAGCATATCTAGGACGGCAAGTACCGCTTCCACGCCCAGGCAAAAGGGATCCCTCATTTGAGTCTTGAAGTTTAGAGGTCCTTATTTTGGCCCTCATGTGGCCATAGAGGGCAACAGGAGTAATCACCAGAAGGGTTTTTTCCCCCTCTCTTCCTGAGTTCGCTTCCAGAAAGTGCAAAAGCCTCTTCCTTGGGTTCATCCAACTAACAATGACCATGTTGCTACTGTGCATATGCACCCCTAGGCTGGAGGGGAAATTGAGGAGGATCTTTGGCCTGGAGTATCTGCATTTGTTTTCACATGACCTTTGTTGGGGTGGTGGGGAGGGAGGGAGGAGGAGCCAGGGATGAGAAGACAAGCAGGTAGGCTACAGGCGAGGGGCCAGGACCTGGCTCATTATTACTCTTCCACCTTCTGAAAAAGAAATTATGAGTCTCAGAATCCTAAATGCAGTTTTTTTGGGTTCTGCTTTTCTTTGATTTTTCTTTCTTTTTTTTTTTTCATTATACTTTAAGTTCTGGGGTACATGTGCAGATCTTGCAAGATTGTTATATAGCTATACACATGCCATGGTAGTTTCCTGCCTCCATTCCCCTTGTCACCTACATTAGGTATTTCTCCTAATGTTATACCTCCCCAATCTCCCCACCCCCTGCTATCCCTCCTCTAGCCCTCTGCCACCCAACAGAACCCAGTGTGTGATGTTCCCCTCCCTTTGTTCTTATTGTTCAACACTCACTTATAAGTGAGAACATGTGGCATTTGGTTTTCTGTTCTTGTGTCAGTTTGCTGAGAAAGATGGTTTCTAGATTCATATATGTCTCTACAAAGGAAACAAACTCATTATTTTCTATGGCTGCATAGTATTCCATGGTGTATATGTGCCACATTTTCCTTGTCCAGTCTATCATTGATGGGCATTTGGGTTGGTTCCAAATCTTTGCTATTGTGAACAGTGTCTCAGTGAACATATGTGTGCATGTGTCTTTATAATAGAATGATTTATAATCCTTTGGATATATACCCAGTAATGGGATTGCTGGGTCAAATGGAATTTCTAATTCTAGATCCTTGAGGAATAGCCACACTGTCTTCCACAATGGTTGAACTAATTTACACTCCCACCAGCAGTGTAAAAGCGTTCCTATTTCTCCACATCCTCTCCAGCACCTGTTGTCTCCATATTTTTTAGTGATTGCCATTCTAACTGATGTGTGATGGCATCTCAATGTGGTTTTGATTTGCATTTCTCTAATAACCAGTGATGATGAGCTTTTTTTTTCATATGTTTGTTGGCTGCATAAACGTCTTCTTTTGAAAAGTGTCTGTTCATATCCTTTGCCCACTCTTTGATGCGGTTGTTTGCTTTTGTCTTGTAAGTTTGTTTAAGTTCTTTGTAGATTCTGGATATTATCCTTTGTCAGATGGGTAGCTTGCAAAAATTTTTTCCCATTCTGTTGATTGCCAGTACACTCTAATGATTTGTTTCTTTTGCTATGCAGAAGCTCTTAAATTTAATTAGATCCCATTAGTCTATTTTGGCTTTTGTTGCCATTGCTTTTGGTGTTTTAGTAATGAAGTCCTTGCCTATGCCTGTGTCCTGAATGGTTTTGCCTAGATTTTCTTCTAGGGTTTTCATGATGTTAGGCCTTAAGTTAAAATCTTTAATCCACCTGGAGTTTATACTCTTTTCGCATTTTTCTCAAAGATAAAGTAATACAGGTGTATTTATTAAGACCCATCCCTCCATATGTAGGTGCTGCCACCAATCTTTCTTCCCCCATTGATTTTTCTCATTATTGCTGATACATTATTTTAAAGATACTCTGTTTTCATTATAAAACTCCCTGCATGAGTTGTAAGTTAAAAGTACTTCCCATATAGTGGAGTTATCAATTCCAGGCTTTTCATCCTAACATTTTGGGTCATTTTATGGTTGAACTGATGTGCATAGCATAGCCCTTCTTTCATTAGTATTACCATCCCTAAGTGATAAGATATTTGTATAATGATAAAGTTGTTAGGAATGTTGACCACATTTAAAGACAACATATATAATATTAAAAAGGTGACTGGACTGAAAGCTATATGGAGGTAGGGGTATAATCTGTCTGCTCCCATGCTCAATTGCCACAACCTAGGTAAATACATATAATATGACACAATAAAAATTTATTGAATCAATAAATAGCTGATATACTTATACTTGGCTTTATTCCAATCTTTGTAATTTAATCTTTGGAAGCCCTTAAAATGCTTTAAATTAGTTGTATATATGAATAGAGTTTTCCTGTCTCCTAACCCTTGTCAGCTCTCCTCACCCCACCTGCCCTGGGTCCACTGTTTATGTTTTCAAATGTTTAGCATTCCTTACATTTCTCAAAATATATCTTGAGGAAACATGTCTTTTTCCTACAAGGGATGTGCAGTTAATTTTCCTTCTTCTCATTTCTTCCTTTTTCCTCTATTTTGTTTTTTTCTTCCCATTTTTCTGTGTTCTTCCATTTTAAATTACTGTTTAAAAAATGTTTTCAATTGATGTATAATAGATATACATATTTTCAGGGTACCTGTTATAATCTAATACATTAATATAATTTATAAAGATCAAATTAGTGTAATTGGGATATTCATTACCTTAAATGTATTTTTTCTTTATGCTAGAAACATTTAAATTATTTTCTTCTATCTATTTTAAAATGTAGTCACCTTACTGATCTATCAAACATTAGGTTTTGTTTATTCTTCTCCTTTCTTTGTCATTTATGTGCTGGTGCTTCGTCCCAGGCAAAGTGTTAGATGCTGGAGAATTCAAAGATGTTCAAGACAGATATGATGCATATGCTCATGGGGTCTAAGTCTAACATTGATATTGAGAAATATTATCCTATATTCCTTCATTGCAGCATGAAATTCATATGACATTTTAAAGATCAAAACTGTTTGGTAGAAAGTCCCGCCATCTTTCCCCCAGGTTTCTTGCCCCCACCCTCCCCCCAGGCTTCCTGCTGCCCTGAGAAAAGCCCACCAAGCCTGCTCTGTTCTGCCCAGCAACAACAAGCAGCCAATCATCACAGCAGGAAAGCCCGCCAAGCCTCGGCCTATCCTGAACCGACACGTAACCCTCTGAGCCACCTCAGCAGTCTGCCCAGAGATGGACAGCCTATCCTAAGCTCCTACGACACTCCGCCAGCCCTGTGTCCACGCCCCGTCCACCCCCCCATAAAACCCTCCTACCCCAGCTGCGCAGTCGCAGCCAGCCCCGATCTCCTTCCTTTCCTGGCCTGCCCGCTGGTCCCAATAAACCTGAACTCGGCTTCCAACTCTCGAGCTGTTACTTGGGGTCGGGTACCGGGCAGGGGTCTATGAGGGGGTCGCACATATGGTGCCGAAACCCGGGACGGAGGGTCACTAGCCCCCCTAGCGACCCCCTCCCTCCAGCGACCTCCCCAGCCCTCCTCCAATTCGGCCTCAGCACTCCGGACCAGGTAAGTCCTGTTTCTTACCTTCTCCTTCCATGGTGCGTGTGGCAAAGGCCCTTCCTCTCAGTCCCAATCCACGGATCCCTCGCCAAGCGCCGGCCGGCCCGAGCAGGATCCCCCAACCAGGCTCCAGGAGCCTTGGGTCGGCAGACAAGGGACGCCTTCTCTGACCCACCCAATCCAAAACCATTAAATAGGAACGATCAGACAGGGGACGCCTTCTCTGGTCTTTCCTATCCACCTTCCTCTGGGGAAGCTGGTGGGTTGGAGGGACGCCTCCCCCCACACTACCCCAGCCCACTCGGATACTGTTCCAAGCTTGGATACTGTTCCGAGACCGCCCTCGGCTGGCAGGAACACTTTGCCGCACGCATCATGGGGAGCGTGGAGTCCAAAATTCCTAAAAACGCCCCACTAGGTTGTTTACTTCTCGACTTTACCTGCTTGGGCTACTCCCAAAACCCTTAGGCGGAAAAAGCTTGTCTTCCTCTCCCAGGTGGCCTGGCCCCAGTATCAGCTCGATAACAGGTCGCATTGGCCTCCCACCGGCACTTTCGATTTCAGTGTGCTCCGCGACCTAGATAACTTCTGCCGCCGAACTGGCAAAGATAAGGAAGTGCCTTATGTTCAGGCTTTTTGGGACCTGCGTTCCCATCCTGACCTCTGCTCTTCTTGCTCCACTCACCAAGTTCTTTTAGCCCGAACTCCCCCACCGCAGACTCCTACCTCCCCAACCAAGCCACCTCCCTATACTCTACAGGAAGAGATGCCTGACCACATGTCTTCCCCCTTTGTTCCCACTCCAGAAGTCCACTACCTCTCCCCCTCCCTACTCCTCACCGGAGGATCTGCCTGAACATCTATCCTCTCCTGCCAATCTCAGCAACCAGTCGCCATCAACGGCACGCTCTTCCTCTGCTCCCTCTGCACCTCCTACCTCAGAGGCCATGCCTCGCTCTCCCTCTACTCCCTCTGAGCCCCCTCCCTCAGAGGCCGCACTTCCTTTTGCCTCTCCGGTGGCGGCCCACACCCGCTCCCACCAGCCAGCTATCCTAGCCCCACTCCGAGAAGTAGCAGGCACAGAAGGTTTAATCAGGGTCCATGTTCCTTTCTCACTCCAAGACCTGTCCCAAATTGAGAAACGTTTAGGATCCTTCTCAGCCGACCCGTCCACCTATATTAAGGAATTCCAATACCTCACTCAAGCCTAAAGCCTCACTTGGCATGATATTCGCGTTATCTGTTCCTCCACCCTCACAGTGGAGGAGCACGAGCACATCCTCGCTGCAGCCAGAAACCAAGCAGATAAAGACCATGCTATAGATAACCAGATCCCCCTAGGCCAGAAGCAATCCCAGGTGAAGACCCCCAATGGGACTATCAGGCTAATCGAGGGTCTGATATACCCAAGAGGGACCGCATGATCAGATACCTCCTCAGGGGAATGGATGCTGTATCTAACAAAGTTGTAAACTATGATAAACTGAGAGAAA